TTTTAGAGTTTAGTAACTATTTGGATGATAAGGGCTGGCTTTAAGTGTTATATTTTAGAGTTTATTAACTATTTGGATGATAAGGGCTGGCTTTAAGTGTTATATTTTAGAGTTTAGTAGTGTGGATGGGACAGCCTAGATGGACCAGCAGGTCACTTGTTGTCCTTAAATTATGTACATATTTACATAATGAAAACTTAAACAGCATTAACATAATAATTACATTGAGTACATTTAGCTTACAACTACAAAAAAACAAATGTAATGATAAAATCATTCAAAAGTTAAGCTGGGTGAACAATTTAAGTATTTACAGTATTAATAAAAAACAGGATAACCAATTATCCAAAAATGACACTTTTTAATTCTAATTAAATAACACTCTCAATGAAAATTAAGGTTATCCATTATGGCTAACTAACTAAATATGGTGTTATATTTCCTTTTATGTTTTAAATTTTACAGACAGTAAAACTTACACTGCTCTCTGGCTTGTTGCAGTGTGTCTCCAGTAAAACGTACAAAGTTATCTCCAGCAAATTGCAACCTGAAATGCAAATAATATTCAATCATTTTTGGAAACAGTCTAATTTATAAAAGGAAAGGTCAATAACTCATTCTAAAGTACACAAAATCTATTATTTTCAGCATTTTGCTCTACAAGGTATCAGTAAGGGTGATTTCTTATCTAGATGGAATACAGAAAAGGCCTGGTTGTATCAATTTATGATTTTCTTCACAGTTTTTGCCAAAATACTTTAAAGGTAAGTGGCAAAGACAAGCACGTTAAAGTTTTATTTACAAAGTTCCCCTGCAGCCTCTACTTAAACTCATCAAAAGAAAAATTAAGTTTTAACACAGTTAGTGAGTAGGATAAAAAAAAACTTTGGTAATAAAGTGATCACTTTGTCATTATTAACTGATCTGTAAATAGGTTTGCCAACTTTGCTATTTCGTTTTTAGAAATTCAGAGGGAACCGAAATAGTTAAATATAAGTGATAACTGGATAATATATGTTCACAATGTTTTGCAATCACAATAAAAAAAATACAAACAATCCTTAAATTAAGGTTAGAATATGTGATAATGGTTAGGATGGTTTAGTACCATTAAGAGATGCAGTTATTTATCAATTTATTATCCTGCTTTCTCTGAACAGAAACAAGCTTTAAATATTTTTTCTCTAAAGTGTAATGGAACTATTTTTATATTCATTTCAAGCCGAGGCTTCTCAAAGCAAAACTTGTGTGTCTGCATTTGCATTGAACTCTTCTAATCAGACACAACAGTTCCTCATATTAGTACTGCTATCAACTGATTTTCAAATAACTCTTCTAATCAGACACACCAGTTCCTCATGTTTATACTGCTATCAACTGATTTTCAAATAACTCTTCTAATCAGACACACTAGTTCCTCATGTTAGTACTGCTATCAACTGATTTTCAACTAACTCTTCTAATCAGATACACTAGTTCCTCATGTTAGTACTGCTATCAACTGATTTTCAAATAACTCTTCTAATCAGACACACTAGTTCCTCATGTTAGTACTGCTATCAACTGATTTTCAACTAACTCTTCTAATCAGACACACCAGTTCCTCATGTTAGTACTGCTATCAAAATAAACTTCTATATACCCCTAAATTTTGTTTGTAGTGTCAATTAAACATTTGGAAATATATACATTCATAAAGAAAAATAACTGTAACCATATATTTTAACCACCACTGAATTATAACACAACATATATCAAATATATTGGGATAGACATCCCTTCAATGACTATTTATACTCCAATATCAGTTTTATTAACTACCACAGTAGAGAAGCATGAGAAATACCAGTGATAATGAATAAAACATACACAATTTATCAAGTGAACACCAGTAAAATCTGTGAACCTGTTATTTTTACATTGAATTATTCGTAGTTACAAATATTCTCGTTTTATCATATGATAATTTGCAATAATTAATTGGACTTTGTCTTTGGAAGAAATAATTAAAACCAATAGATATTCACATTCCAAAGCCTTAGAGAATTCCTAATATAAATGGGCAACAGTGAGTCAGGTGACATTTGATGACACCCTTTTAATTTGGGTGGATTAATGGTCCAGAACAATTTACTCCTTCAAATATCTCACCTACTTATACAATAAAGAGGCCTATGCAAAAGTAGCAAATGTATGATATTTGCCAAATGTTTTTAAAATGTCCTGTTTAAGGCTTAGCTAAAAGTTTATAAATCATGTAGTAGTCTTCCCTCTCTACAGCCAGACAAAATACAAATTAAGTTTTGGTCACGATAAATACACTGCATGTAAAGAGTCTCCCTCTGCAGAAATATGTTATCAAATTAACTGTCTCCAAATTCCCCAGTTACATATTCAGATGTACTACAGTATATTGTGTTGTGTTATAATTACAGGATGTTGGTAAACAAATTTGTTTTGAGGCTGAAATAAGCTCAATCTATACTAACTCCTGAAATATTTCAGCTACTTATTTAAAATGCACTATTTGGAACACTTTCCAATGCTATGTAATCTTCACTTTTTAATAATTATTTTTATTTGTAAAAGAAAATCTATTTTGGGATGGGAGAAAAACAGCTGTTGTCATGTTATCTCTTCTTCATTGATACTTAGTTTTAGATCACAGTTGTTGTCATGTTATCTCCTCTTTATTGATACTTAGTTTTAGATCACAGTTGTTGTCATGTAATCTCTTCTATTGATACTTAGTTTTAGATCACAGTTGTTGTCATGTTATTTCCTCTTTATTGATACTTAGTTTTAGATCACAGTTGTTGTCATGTTATCTCCTCTTTATTGATACTTAGTTTTAGATCACAGTTGTTGTCATGTAATCTCTTCTTTATTGATACTTAGTTTTAGATCACAGCTGTTGTCATGTTATCTCCTCTTTATTGATACTTAGTTTTAGATCACAGTTGTTGTCATGTTATCTCTTCTTATTTATACTTAGCTTTAGAGTTCAAGCAAAACGAATTTTTCAAAGAAAAAAAAAATGACTTTTCAATAAGGACATGAACAAGAAGCTGGTCATACAGGAAGCCAACTTCAGACTTGTTTTGCTGCAGTATCTACATATGGTTGACAAATAAATTCTATTTTATAGTTAATAATACCAACACTTTTATATGGAGCCACACAAGTTCAAGTAGGAGTATCTTAAAATCATAAATAATATTCAACACTAAACTGGTACACACAATTAAAAACATTTTATATAGGCCTATCTATGGCCTTCAAAAAGTTGACGACTCGACATGTTTCGATGTTACAACGTCATCCTCAAGATGTTTAAAATGTAAAACATGTCCTTTCCCTCAGGTAAACTTGTACTGAAAAGACAAAAGGGAAACTTCAATAGCTGTGGCACTTGAAATTCTTTCAGGCAGGATTAAAGTAAATTAATCTATGAGACCTTTTTTTCCTTTTTAGTAGCTATATTTTTGTGCACCAGCAATACCAAGCATGGAGTGTGTGTATACCCAGTTTAATTTTATTACTCATCAGGATCTTTACCAGAATACATTTAAATTGAAATTATTTTAGGCAGAATTAGAATAAATTATTCTATGAGACTTTGAGCATGATCAAATACATCAATCAAAAGGGTTTGACCTGCTGAGTCCAAAACTTTAACTAGATCTCAAATTGGTCAAGAAATGACAGAACTATGGGATAAAAACTTGTACTTGAAAATATACAAACAAACTCAGAGCTGTTCTATGAGCCTACCCCCAAATTGAAATTCTTTAGGCAGTATTAGAGTAAATTAATCTATGAGACCTTGGGTGTGGTCAAATACATCAATCGAAAGGGTTTGACCTTCTGAGTCCTAAACTGTAATTAGATTTCAAATCAGTCAAGATATAACAGAGCTATGAGCTAAAATCTTATACTTGAAGAAAAACAACAACAAAAACTCAGAGCTGTTCTATGAGCCTCTATGCCATGGCTAAAGAAAAAATAAGAGTTGACCACACATAGTTTGTTACTTTAGGATTATAAAAAAAATAACCGTGAATGCAATGTTTAAGTGTTTAATAACTTATCATAATGACTTTTTTGGGTATATTACTTTGTGAAATAACCTGGAAAGCTAAATATATATATCTCACAATTGGTAAGACTGTATGATGAAATAATGTGTGCATTAATAAACTTTACATTAAGATACAGTCTGTTTATAAACTAAGTAACTGTACAATATCCCCATCACAAAGAAATATATTAACAATTCACCAGGTTCATCATGTGAATGAAATCACACTTTATTCAGTGTGGGGCAGTGTTTAAAAACTTTATAACAAAATACTTACTCCTCTGGATCATTCTTTGTACCTTTGTGAGGGTTGTCTCTCATTGACCTAGTTTTGGGATCGTAGTATGCAGAATTGGGATCCAAGTTCCTTAGGTACTAAAAATCGAAGAGTACAAATTATAATACTTTATCATATACATGAATCACAGTTCTAGTACAGAGTTTTTATACTTAAATAGCATCTATCATATACATGAATCACAGTTCTAATACAGAGTTTTTATACTTAAATAGCATCTATCATATACATGAATCACAGTTCTAATACAGAGTTTTTATACTTAAATAGCATCTATCATATACATGAATCACAGTTCTAATACAGTTTTTATACTTAAATAGCATCTATCATATACATGAATCACAGTTCTAATACAGTTTTTATACTTAAATAGCATCTATCATATACATTAATCACAGTTCTAATACAGTTTTATACTTAAATAGCATCTATCATATACATGAATCACAGTTCTAGTACAGAGTTTTTATACTTAAATAGCATCTATCATATACATGAATCACAGTTCTAATAGTTTTTATACTTAAATAGCATCTATCATATACATGAATCACAGTTCTAGTACAGAGTTTTTATACT